ACTATTTTTGTTGACCTTTGTCCATGGAAGGTCCCTGCAAAATTTCATTGAAATTGGTTCAGGGGTTTTGGAGAAGAAGTCGAAAATGTAAATTGTTTACGGACGCACGACGGACGACGACGGACAAAAGGCGATCGCAATAGGTCACTTGAGACTTTGTCTCAGGTGACCTAAAAACACCCAAAGTGTCCTGTTTTGTTTCAAGCCCAGAGGGAACGCAGGTTTCACACCAGATTTAAACATTCTTACTCCAAAATGTTTGCTGAAGTTAATGTTCTTGTGCGAAATCTTCTTATCATAAGCAAAATATTTTATTTTATTGCTTAGATTTTTCTTCATTAATTGTAGTATGTATACAACATCACTAATACTCTCTAATCTGATGTTTGTTTAACAGGGCCCACACAAAACAAAATCTGTGTCTTCACATAATTTATTATCTTCTACAATGTTTGTGCTTCTAAATTAATATTTCACCAATAAGTAAGCCCTTACATCTCCCTGTTTGTCCAAAATTACATTTTTTCTGAAGGAGAAAATACATCTGTGTCTACATTAGACCATGTCATGATTTATTCTGTTAAGTGTCACCAACTTTATATTAGGCAACAGCCTATTGATGGTGGTGATCCAACACTACACAAAAAAACTTGCCCAAATTTTTTAACTAAGTCCAATTAAGCTGTTTTTGGACCCTAAAATATGATACGGTTCAGCACATTTTTTACACTCGATATAAATACTTTAATCTTATGATAGACAACAGCATATTGATGGTGGTTGTCCAACACTTCACAAAAAAACTTGCCCAAAAACTTTAACCTCAAACTTACCCCAAATCTTTAACCAAGTCCATTTAAGCTGTTTTTGGCCCATAAAAATATGAAAGTATGGTCCAACACATTGCTTACACTCGATATAAATGACTTAACCTCATAATAGACAACTGTGTATTGAGTGTGATGATCCAACACTGTCTGGAAAAAACTTGCCGCCCAAAAACTGTAACCTCAGAAGGTGGAATGCTGACGCCAGGATGACTACATTAGGCCCCCTATTCCTCGAAAAGGCGAGCTAAAAATGATTTACTCAACACAGCGTATCAAGCTCAACAGCAAACAATTCCAGAGGCACTTACATGAGGCAAAGGGTTAATTAACTTTCACTGCTTGAACAGTGTTTTAGAAATTAGTGAGTGTACGTACCTATGAGTAGAGCTTTAAAGTTCATGTGAGAGCGATCCATGGAGATATCTGGTTCCCGCGCCTTTCCTACCAACAGGAACGGAACAGTGATGTCCTGCTCTGGGATACGGAACTTCCAAAACGACTCTACTATGTCCACTTGGTGAGAGACGTACTCAAAGGAAACCTGTTACAAATACCACATGTAAGGTTTCATATTTCTTTATATTCTAAATATGCATATCTTTGATTTGTAGGGTTGAACATGAAACAGTCATTCCACCTGCATTTATTAGTAGGATTACCACATGGAGCAAAACATCAGAGTTCACAGTGTTATAATAAACAAGAGGCCCATGGGCCTTAACGGTCACCTGAGTCTTACATTATTTATTTTTGTTGTGGAAATATGAAGTGGAGATAATGATGTCAATCATCCCTACCAATTTGAGTAAAAAATAGTTAAGTATAACGTTAAGTTAAGTTAGTCAGGACCATGAGTTGATCATTCCGAGTGTCAGTTTAATTGGCCTATTAGATTTTAAGTTGAAAACAGTTTTTCTTCAAAATAACAGCTGAAGCAGCCATATTGGATTTTGATCAGCCCGAAAAATAACAACACTTTGTCAAGACCTTGAGTTGATTATTCCTACCAAGTTTCAGTTCAATCGGCCCAGTAGACCTTGCCTTTAAGTTTGAAATAGTTTGGAGGCCATATTGGATTTCTGATCGACCCGAAAAATAACAACACTTTGTCAGGACCATGCGTTGATTATTCCTACAAAGTTTCAGTTCAATTGGCCCAGTAGAACTCTGATCAACCTGAAAAATAACAACACTTGGCCAGCGAGTTGTCAGTAACACTCCCATGAAGTATCAATGAAATCCCTTTGACAGTATTTCAGTTTAAGTTGAAAATGTAAAATGTTAACAGACACCGGACGACGCATGATGGACGAAGATGGATAGCAATAGGTCACTTGAGCTAAAAGCTCAGGTGACCTAAAAACTAGATTTGAGCAAAGCCATAATATGTCCTGTCAAATTAGCCATAATATGTCCTGTCAAATTGTTTGATGAGGGTATAAAACTTCAGAGTGAGCATGCCACCATAATTATGTTAAAGTTCAAGAATTATGTAAGATCCGTTACTTTTTATTTATCAAAATACACATTGCAGTCTTTCTTAATATGTGCTTAATAGTGAGAGATTCACATCGTTAACGTTTCCTTTCTGGACAAAAACGCTGCAAATATTTGTTCATGCACTTTAGCCTTCTGTTGAGATAGGGAATGAGAAGATCTCCCTCATTGGAGGTATCAGAGGTTGACATGGGTTGGAAGGTAGTAGTGTACCGTAGCGAACGGTGGCCATGGGTGATATTTTTATAAAAACAATGAATAATTAAAAAATAAAATCAGCACTAAAATTGGCATATACATGATGAAGTGGACTATGTGGGCTTCATAATTAAAAAAACAAAAAAACAATTTGGTTTGAGACTAGATTTTTGGGCATTTACAAATCTGTGTCTACACAACAAAAGCTAGCTTTTCATGTAGTCAATTTTTGTACTCAGCACACGTTTATATCCTGCGAAAAAATCCACCGTAATAACCTATGCTAAAATGTGAGTATTTCTGTTACCGAGTAGGCGATATTTAATTTCAGATAGGTTTTAAGAAAAAAAATACTACTTGCAGGGGTCAAATTTTGGGTTAAAAATCATATGTTTTTGCATTTTTTGGTGTTTTTTGATGTTGTAACCATGGTTTTCACAAATCCCAAATCTGGGGATAACAGTATTTGAAGAAAAATATCAGTCTTCTAAACAAATATTCTAAATGTAGTTTATAAATATATATATATATGTAGGTGTGTTGGCAAGTTGACTCCTCTATCCATCTCTATCTGAGACATACCCTTTATTTTTACGATCAGGCCATTTCTACTGTACACTGCTACCATAGGAAAATGAAAAGATTGGTTGTTAGGCATTGTTAAAGGCCTTGTGTGAAGTTAACCATGGATGAGTACCTGAAACTTCTTCCCACTTTTGATGAGGCCTTTAGGTACGAGACAGTTGAAGGACGCAGGCTTCTTCGGATCAGAATCATCTTCACAGGACCACTCAAAGTTGTAGGGTTGGTTGGTAGGGTTCACAATGGCAAAGTTTCTGAATAAAACAGACATTTATCTTAACTAGGGCAGCATGTTATAATTGTATTTTTTGATTTTTTTTTCTTTCTTCATGAGCTTGAACAAATCAGGTCTTTTGTTTTGAAATGCGATTTACAATAGATAGTCCAATGATGTCGCTCAACTCTCACTCATATCAAATTGGACAGAAGTCAGCTAATAGACAGAATCAGAGTCCCAACAAAATGTGTAGGGGCACAATTTTGTGAGACATCTTTTGTATGACATTTCAATCATACTTGTCTGTATGTAATTTATTAAATAAATTTGATTTTGTTTTCATGTTGAATACTTCCAATATATTAAGTATGCACATTTTGTACCAATAGCCATCTTAGTACCCTCCAAAAAATCAGATTTAAAAAATTCCAACTTTTCTTACATGGCATTTTGACGAGGAAAAGGACTGGACTCAACAAAGTTATAATACTACATCATTAAAATGGGATATAAAGTAAAAATTCTCAATTTCATTTCAGTAGTGGTTATCATAGCTTCAGCTGGCAAATTTGTCTCGCATAATGGAGACTCTGTAAAAGAAGGTGTACCACTGAGGTACCAGATAGCTAAACTAGAACTGTAAGCCAAAGACTAACTAAGGAAAAGTATTGCAAAGCAATCCATAGTCTCCCACCGTAATGATTTCTTCATTGACTGAGCTGTACACTTATTTAAGTATAAAGGTCACTGACATACTTCCTGTTCTACCTCCCAATGCCAAAACATACTTGCATATCAAATCTTGTTAGCCCAGATGAACCAACTTTACTGAAATCATCCTAGTGATTAAGGGTGAGTTGTCAGGACAAAAGGTTTAACCAAAGGGCTATAACTCCTTAAAATGGGTCAANCGGACGACGGACGACGACGGACGAAAACGGATAGCAATAGGTCACTTGAGCTAAAGCTCAGGTGACCTAAAAACTACACTGATACATGACAACTGGGGGTAATTACTATATCTGTAAACTTTCATTGAAATTGGCCTGGTAGTTTAGGAGGCAGACAAAAGTTTTTATAACATAACTCCTTTTAAAAGGGTAAGAATGAACAAGCTGTAAGGATTATTATCAGCAATATTCATTAAAGTTGTGTCAATTTCATTGAAATCCATCTGGTAGTTAAGGAATATCTGGTAATATATCAGTAAAACTTAAAAACATGTATAGTTAAAATCTGACAAAAAAACTGTTATATATGTTAAACATTATTGCTTCTAGTATTACCATACCAAATTTGGAAGGAATTTAATAAAAAAAAAAAAAAGTTCTATACAATGTCATGGTCTAGAGAAGGTTTTTGAACCAAGGGCCATAATCTCGTGAAAGGGGAGATAACCCAATTAAAAGTACTTTACAAACATCTCCAAGCTGCAAGGATTGTTATCAGCAAATTTCATTGCAATCCATCTTGTAGTTTAGGAGGAGTATGTGTTACTACATCGCATTGCGTCACGGACGGATGGACGGACAGACGGCCTGATTCCAGTATACACCGCCCCCCCCCCTAACTTTGTTGCTGGGGGTATAATAAAATTCTCAGGGGATCCTCATAATAACAGGGGAGGTACAACCACAGACTGTGCCACAACAATGGGATAAGAGATCTACCTGATCTGTCAGTGATTAACTTGTCTTTGAGTGATTTGCTTGCCTTTGAGTGATTAACTTGCCTTTGAGTGATTTACTTGTCTTTGAGTGATTTACTTACCTTTGAGTGATTTACTTGCCTTTGAGTGATTAACTTGCCTTTGAGTGATTTACTTGTCTTAGAGTGATTTACTTGTCTTTGAGTGATGAACTTGTCTTTGAGTGATTTGTTTGCCTTTGAGTGATTAACTTGCCTTTGAGTGATTTACTTGTCTTTGAGTGATTAACTTGTCTTTGAGTGATTTGCTTGCCTTTGAGTGATTAACTTGCCTTTGAGTGATTTGCTTGCCTTTGAGTGATTTACTTGCCTTTGAGTGATTTACTTGCCTTTGAGTGATTAACTTGTCTTTGAGTGATTTGCTTGCCTTTGAGTGATTAACTTGCCTTTGAGTGATTTGCTTGCCTTTGAGTGATTAACTTGCCTTTAAGTGATTTACTTGTCTTTGAGTGATTTACTTGCCTTTGAGTGATTAACTTGCCTTTGAGTGATTAACTTGCCTTTGAGTGATTTACTTGCCTATGAGTGATTTACTTGCCTTTGAGTGATTTACTTGTCTTTGAGTGATTAACTTGTCTTTGAGTGATTTGCTTGCCTTTGAGTGATTAACTTGCCTTTGAGTGATTTACTTGTCTTTGAGTGATTTACTTGTCTTTGAGTGATTAACTTGTCTGTGATTTACTTGCCTTTGAGTGATTTACTTGTCTTTGAGTGATTTGCTTGCCTTTGAGTGATTTACTTGTCTTTGAGTGATTAACTTGTCTTTGAGTGATTAACTTGTCTTTGAGTGATTAACTTGCCTCTGAGTGATTAACTTGTCTTTGAGTGATTTGCTTGCCTTTGAGTGATTAACTTGCCTTTGAGTGATTAACTTGCCTTTGAGTGATTTACTTGTCTTTGAGTGATTTGCTTGCCTTTGAGTGATTTACTTGTCTTTGAGTGATTAACTTGTCTTTGAGTGATTAACTTGTCTTTGAGTGATTAACTTGCCTCTGAGTGATTAACTTGTCTTTGAGTGATTTGCTTGCCTTTGAGTGATTAACTTGCCTTTGAGTGATTAACTTGCCTTTGAGTGATTTACTTGTCTTTGAGTGATTTGCTTGCCTTTGAGTGATTTACTTGTCTTTGAGTGATTAACTTGTCTTTGAGTGATTAACTTGCCTTTGAGTAGTTAACTTGCCTTTGAGTGATTTACTTGTCTGTGATGTACTTGTCTTTGAGTGATTAACTTGTCTTTGAGTGATTTGCTTGTCTTTGAGTGATTAACTTGTTTTTGAGTGATTAATTTGCCTTTGAGTAATTAACTTGCCTTTGAGTGATTTACTTGTCTTTGATTTACTTGTCTTTGAGTGATTAACTTGCCTTTGAGTGATTTACTTGTCTTTGAGTGATTAACTTGCCTTTGAGTGATTTACTTGTCTTTGAGTGATTTACTTGTCTGTGATTTGCTTGCCTTTGAGTGATAAACTTGTCTTTGAGTGATTACTTGTCTTTGGAGTGATTTACTTGTCTGTGATTTACTTGTCTTTGAGTGATTAACTTGCCTTTGAGTGATTAACTTGTCTTTGAGTGATTTGCTTGTCTTTGAGTGATTAACTTGCCTTTGAGTGATTAACTTGTCTTTGAGTGATTTACTTGCCTTTGAGTGATTAACTTGCCTTTGAGTGATTTACTTGTCTGTGATTTACTTGTCCGTGGGTGATTTACTTGTCTGTATGTGATTCACTTGGCTGCGAGGGCTTTACTTGTCTGCGAGTGATTTACTTGTCTGAGATTGATTTATGTATCGGTGCGTGACTTACTTGAGATTCCTCACACCAACTCCAATACAGCTAAACTCTATGACGCGAGTATTGGGGTCGAGAGTAGAACCAGCAGGAGCCCCACCTGGCCCTCGCATCTCTGGGTTACGTCTCGAGCTAGAAATATAGTCCGAGTCCTCCAGTTCAAAATGACAGTAGGGCATCAGACTCTTGCCTTTGATTCCCACCACTGGTCCTTGTTGTGTCTTTTCTAGGTTTGGAATTCTAAAAAGTAATGTTTCACTACAAGGTATCAACACATCAACTGAACACCCCTATCTTGTTTGTTCTTCTACTAGCATTACATTTCTTATTATTATTGTTATTTTATTTTTATTTTTTACTTTTTTTTATTTATCAATATTTCCAAATTTGATTACAAAAATGAAATTGGCATTTTAGGAAATACTTTTCTGCCTGAGTTTGAATACTTACGAACAAATCAGTCTGGCCTCATAATCATTCACATCTAAGGGAGAGAACCTGACTTTAAAGCTGGATTTCTTGCCAGCCTGTATTGTTCCATATTCTGGTTCTATGGTGAAGGGGACATAACTGCTGTCAGCAAGATCCATGCGTGACTCTGGTCGTTCTGCCTCTGACATGAATGTTACAGCTCGCTGGAAGGTGGGCATGTTCTCCATTACCACCTGCCAACTGTAGTCCATCTGGACAGCACCCTTGTTACTCAGTGTAAAACTGCAAAACATTACAACAAATCACTCAAATTCTGAAATTACAAGCTTCAATATAACAAAACCAAATTTTCACCTAAAAAATGCCTAACTCAAACTTTCAACATCAAATTTGTATCTCATCTATGTAAAACCTCAATATAAGGCGACAACTTTTGTAGATTTCAGAACAAAGACTCCCAACCTTGTAGATTTGATTGTGACCATTGCGAGTTTGGTGGTTGAAGTTTAGTGCCATGTTTTTTGAGGAACACAGTGTTGATTTATGGACTTACTCATAGACCCTTGTCTGGAACATAAGAGTGTCTCGGAAGCTAACAGCCTCTATCTTGCATTTGTATTTGCTGAAGTCACACAGAGCTGTTACAAGTAGGTCCACCTGGCGAGCACTGTCAGGCACTTCTGTAAACACAGGCTCTGCCTCTGTTTCAATCACCTTCTTTTTGGCTGGTCTTGATGATAGTGGTGCCTTGTTACCACTGAAACAAACAAATGTTTACATGCTACAGTGTCACCTTTTGTATAAAATGATTGTGAACTGACTGTTATACACAGTTAGCTAGCACACAGTTTTGCCATAATACACAAACTTTGGTATTGCAATGATTGACCTTTAACCCCATGTGGCCATGACTACTGACTGTGGTTTATGATAGGTTAGGTATCTTAACCATTTGCAAGTCATAAACTCTCTTTGACCAAACTGTGAATTCATGATTAATATAATGATGTCATGACATTGTGATGTTGTACTAATTACACCAGACATGATGTCATGACATTGTGATGTTGTACTAAATACACCAGACATGATGTCATGACATTGTGATGTTGTACTAAATACACCAGACATGATGTCATGACATTGTGATGATGTACTAAATACATCAGACATGATGTCATGACATTGTGATATTGTACTAAATACACCAGACATGATGTCATGACATTATGATGTTGTACTAAATACACCAGACATGATGTCATGACATTGTGATGTACTAAAAATAATACATCATGTCTGATGTATTATTTTTAGTACATCACAATGTCATGACATTGTGATGTACTAAAAACACCAGACATGATGTCATGACATTGTGATGTACTAAATACACCAGCCATGATGTCATGACATTGTGATGTACTAAAAATAATACATCAGACATGATGTCATGACATTGTGATGTACTAAATACATCAGACATGATGTCATGACATTGTGATGTACTAAATATAAATCCATCAGACATGATGTCATGACATTGTGATGTACTAAATCCCCCAGCCATGATGTCATGACATTGTGATGTACTAAAAATAATACATCAGACATGATGTCATGACATTGTGATGTTTTAAATACATCAGACATGATGTCATGACATTGTAATGTACTAAATACCCCAGCCATGATGTCATGACATTGTGATGTACTAAATACATCATACATGATGTCATGACATTGTGATGTACTAAATACATCATACATGATGTCATGACATTGTGATGTACTAAATACATCATACATGATGTCATGACATTGTGATGTACTAAATAAATCAGACATGATGTCATGACATTGTGATGTACTAAAATAGATATTTGGTTTGTTAATTTGATAAGGTGGGTTTGATGTAAAACTTTAGCTGATCTATTTCAGCTGTTCTGTATAATGTCCCAATGGTCACACATTAGTGTAATAAGGTAGTGTTTACAAACCCCTCATTGACACTGGAAGGCTGAGGCGATGTCGGCACATCCACCCACTTCACTGTCCGGATCCTATCATCCCAGTCAGCCACTTTGTCTTGCTTCTCGAACATGATCTTGTTCACCTTGCAGTTGACTTTCTCCTCAGTCAAGGTCTTGGGCTGATCACTTTTGAATGTAATGGTCATATCCTTAGTTGATTCTGGATGGAGATGGCCCACAGTAGGTGAAAATTTTAGCAGGGCATTTTCTGGCCATTGGAACCTGTAGATGTCTGTCTTGGAATGGTTGGTCATAGCAAATGAAAGGGTGCGGGGCTCTCCTATGGCACAGTCACCAAACTTTATCAAGTTTGGTTTGGCAGCTTGAAAAAAAAAAAAAACACATTAGACTATCAAACAAAAGTCAGTGGCCCATGATCCTTAATGGTGTAATTTTATTCATAAATGTAGACAAAAAGTACATGAAAAAAACAAAAATTGGGTATATGTATATAAACTATAGTAAACTTTACCCCCTCCTCAGGCGAGGCTGACTCGGGTAATTTAATGATATTCATAATTTTGATAGAACACCTCAGGACCTTTGCATCCATGAAGAGTATTGAATTCTAGCACATCAGGGAATTAATTATATACCATGAAACTACAATCTAATGATAATAATTCAAAGAATCATTCCCCACTGAAAATAAATAAAAATATACAAAAAAGTTAAGCACATGAGCTGCAAGTTAGTTTATGTTAGCAAAGAAAAAGCTTACCTTCATTGGTCATTGACAAGTACGATGATTTTCCTCCTGTGAGAAAATGGATTCATGATCCACCTACATTATAACCTAACACAAGCTGATGACAGCGTACCTCTGCTGTCGTGATCCACCTACATTATAACCTAACACAAGCTGATGACAGCGTACCTCTGCTGTCGTGATCCACCTACATTATAACCTAACACAAGCTGATGACAGCGTACCTCTGCTGTCGTGATCCACCTACATTATAACCTAACACAAGCTGATGACAGCGTACCTCTGCTGTCGTGATCCACCTACATTATAACCTAACACAAGCTGATGACAGCGTACCTCTGCTGTCGTGATCCACCTACATTATAACCTAACACAAGCTGATGACAGCGTACCTCTGCTGTCGTGATCCACCTACATTATAACCTAACACAAGCTGATGACAGCGTACCTCTGCTGTCGTGATCCACCTACATTATAACCTAACACAAGCTGATGACAGCGTACCTCTGCTGTCGTGATCCACCTACATTATAACCTAACACAAGCTGATGACAGCGTACCTCTGCTGTCGTGATCCACCTACATTATAACCTAACACAAGCTGATGACAGCGTACCTCTGCTGTCGTGATCCACCTACATTATAACCTAACACAAGCTGATGACAGCGTACCTCTGCTGTCGTGATCCACCTACATTATAACCTAACACAAGCTGATGACAGCGTACCTCTGCTGTCGTGATCCACCTACATTATAACCTAACACAAGCTGATGACAGCGTACCTCTGCTGTCGTGATCCACCTACATTATAACCTAACACAAGCTGATGACAGCGTACCTCTGCTGTCGTGATCCACCTACATTATAACCTAACACAAGCTGATGACAGCGTACCTCTGCTGTCGTGATCCACCTACATTATAATCTATCCTTGTTAACAAAAGGCCCAAAGGCCTTTGTACCCGACCTGCAGTCTATTTTTAACCTGTTGGATACCATACATGTTTAACATAAAGACTATAAGATACTCTTAGCTGTTAAAACAGGCCATATCCTTTTTAGGTCTTTCTTAGAAGATCTTACTACTCTATACTTTATGAGTCTTTGTTGGAAGATTTAAACATAATTTTGATCTGATCTTCACAGTTGGTGGAAAAAGGTAATTTATTTACGTCTAACACATCATATGAATTTACAACATTAACGTACATGCTAAATAGTCCTGAACTTTACTTAGGATGGCCTCTGTTTTTATTCAGAAGTCAATTTTAACAATATAAAACCTGTGACTCGGATAGTGGGTCAAGGTCATTCATTTGAAAAATAACATATGACTGGCCAAATATCATCATCCTAGGCCTTTTGGTTATTGAGAAGAAGTCATCTAAAGGAAAATGCTGATGTCACACGAACGACAGATGCCACATCGCAGCATAAGCATACTTGGTCCTTTGGGCCAGGTGAGCTAATAACCAGTACCTTCATCTCGCACGTTAACTGCCAAATTTAAACCTGGCAAAATGGCTGACACTAGAATACCCATGGCTCCAGGATCATATTGGATTTCTGGATAACTGGGGCAATAAAGGCTACCAGTTCTGTATACAGGAAATTAATAAGATACCGTAGTGTTTTTTTCATGTTATGATTTGATATCTTTATGTTGAATTATAGTTTATATTCAACTTAATATACAATACTTCTGCATTTGTTATTTTTTATATTTTATTGTTTCCATATTTTGTTAACTATTGTGACATCTAAGGAATATGAGGGGGAAAGGCTGCCTTTCTGGCAGGCTAGCTTTTCCAGTGAAGTGCTTTAACCTGGGAACCGTCTCACTGGTTCAGCAACGTCGAGCGTGGTCAGTAGTTGGATGGCTGACCGCCCGGGCGCACATTACATTTGGTCGCAGCGTAATGTCTCTGTGATCATGTAAGGCCAGTTCCCGGTGGTTAGGGAACTGATACACAGGGAGGACCTACCTTATTCCCCAGACCAAGCCTCGGGATGAGACTTCTTGGAGGGGGGAAAGGTGTGACATCTAAGGAATATGAGGGGGAAAGGCTGCCTTTCTGGCAGGCTAGCTTTTCCAGTGAAGTGCTTTAACCTGGGAACCCGCTCACTAGTTCAGCAACTTCGAGCGTGGTCAGTAGTTGGATGGCTGACCGCCCGCAAGTTACACTATCATATATAAAAACTTATATATTTTACATCAATTATGAAACAAGTTATATCAACTTATAACAATCATTCATGTTGGTCTGAATATTAGTGTAGAAGGGGTCTAAATTAAGGAGGAAGCCAGAAAACCTGAAAAATCTCACCTGGTCGGGCAGCTGACCCCATACCGTTTCACATCCAATCTGGGAAATGAACCCAAGCTATTTGGTAAAAGGTATATGCACTGCGACACCAACAACCTGTCGTAGTATGTTATGTAAATCAGTACCAGAACCCTGTAAAACTCAGACAACTTACCTCCCACATCATCCTCTGCCATGTTGCCTTCCTCGTTTTCTGGCTCTACTGGTACCTCGATACTGTTGATGTTGTCGAGAGTGATCTCCTCCTCATAACCCTCTCCAACCAGCTGGATGACCGAATCCTCATACTGGTTATCAATGACAGTTAGTCGAATATGGGCCTGTGATCTTTGCACAGCAGTAGGTTTGAAAATCACATCAAAGGAGGCAGCCTCGCTCACATTGACGATCACAGAAGCTGTGTGTGGGCGCTTGGTGACTTCTGTAAATATAAACAAAGCACATGATATAGTACTGGCATTGCATTCTTATTTGTAAACCTTTTTTCCTTAAGTTACAGTTACTTGCAAATTATCCTTATTGGCATTGTCTGCTTAATGACAATAATTTCAGTAACAAGAAGCCCAATAGGTCTGTTTCACTCACCTTATTTATATTTAGTGCTGTTATAGGAAATCATATCAAATATTTGACTTCAAAAGTTCAAATTTTTAAAACAAACTTGATAATAAGCAAGCTAACACACCACATGTTTATATTATTACCAGCCACCCTCTGTATCTGTGTTGAAAAGTTTCACTTATTTTAATCATGCATCATTTGAATTTGGCAAACAGATTTATTAAAAAAACCCAAAAACAAGCTTAGCTCAAAATTTTATTACCCAGACCTTAAGGACTTTTGAGAGAAGTTTCACTTTTTCATCTTTGACCCCTCTGATAAAAAAAGTGGGAACACGTTAGTTACTTCGACACACTGGTTTTTCTCCCAATTAGCAAGCTACTGACTAAATATCCTTATTTTTGAATTTATGAATCATTAGAAGAAGTGATTTAACAATTTTTTACACATTTGATCCAAGAGAGTGAGTCAAGGTCACTCATTCAAATTCAGTTGATAGCATTCCATCGAGTGATGGCACATACTAGCAATTCACAATGTCCTTAACAACATTTGATCCATGTGACCTAAACAATGGGTCAAAGGTCATTAATTTTATTAGAGTATTAAAACTTCATAGCCATTCATCCCAGTATGCAAATTTAATATGATACATTATGGTGCAGGTTTTAGCCTCTATACCCACATCAGACTTATCAAAAGAGATTATTCATATTGACTTTCGGTTTACAATGCTCGGGTATCAACATGACCTTATGTCTCTTGGTTATTAAGTTGTTTCATGGCTTTCACACTTTTGAAACTGTGATCTTGGAAGTAAATCAAGGTAATTTATTTGAACAATCTTGATAGCAATTTATACCAGTATACTACAGGCCTAACATCAATACTCTAGGCCTCTTACATCATCTGTAAATAGTTGTTTGAAAGTTTTACACATTTAAACCATGTGATCTTCTAAGTGGGTCAATTCTATTCATGTTACACACTTCGAGAGCCCTTCATCACTGCATACTACTGCTGAAATATTGTTCCCCTAGGACTGTTGGATATTCTGAAGAACTTGTTGTAGGTAAGCTAATAATGTGTATACTGCTGAATATATATATAATAAGTCTGATTGGAAACTTAATACCTCCAAAATCGTCCTCCATGATGGCCTGCGTTGTCCCACTTGGTCTCAGCCGGAAGGCCTTGTCTGGGTCAATGAGGTCAATGTCTACCTTACTAGGCAGTGTTCCATCGTTCACAAGGATCAGTGGCATCACATCACTCCTTCCCAATAAAATACGCTTAAACAGAACCAGGGGTTGTCCCCTCTTGTTTCTAACTGTTGGTTTCTGAATACCGATACGAGGCAGGTTGCCCTCGCCAGAGATATCAAAGGTCAAGGTACGACCTTTGGCTTGGTTAGACGGCACACCTTCAATGCTAGCCTCAAATGTTGCTGAGAATGTCTGCATAGATGGAGGGGTGAACGTGACCGTGGCATACACATGACTATGGTTTGGAATCAGAGCCTTTGCTGGCTCTATCTCAAACACATCCAGATGTTTAGTCATTCCTTTCACAAGGATGGGCTTCAGTGACAACACTACATCACATGGAACTTTGTTGATGTTTGCAATCTTGAATCGGGCTTTCGCTTTGTGTCCAACAATGACGTTGTTGAAAACAAACTTTTTCTCATCTTCCCCATACACACCACCTTCGTTTTCCAATTGTAGCTATAACAGAAACAAACAAGAGTACAGCAGGATGAAACAACATACGCCCATCTCATGCCAATCTGCTATACTTAAATTCCCTCTGATGTATTATTGTGTCTGTATGTAAGCATGGATTTTGCTACCTGGTTGTTGTGTTTGTATACCTGGTTGTTATGTTTGTATACCTGGTTGTTGTGTTTGTATACCTGTCTGTTATGTTTGTATACCTGACTGTTATGTTTGTATACCTGATTGTTGTGTTTGTATACCTGGTTGTTATGTTTGTATACCTGACCGTTATGTTTGTATACCTGGTTGTTGTGTTTGTATACCTGTCTGTTATGTTTGTATACCTGGTTGCTGTGTTTGTATACCTGTCTGTTATGCTTGTATACCTGGTTGTTGTGTTTGTATACATGGTTGTTGTATTTGTATACCTGGTTGTTATGTTTGCATACCTGGTTGTTGTGTTTGTATACCTGGTAGTTGTGCTTGTATACCTGGTTGTTATGTTTGTATACCTGGTTGTTGTGTTTGTATACCTGTCTGTTATGTTTGTATACCTGACTGTTATGTGTGTATACCTGGTTGTTGTGTTTGTATACCTGGTTGTTATGTTTGTATACCTGACCGTTATGTTTGTATACCTGGTTGTTGTGTTTGTATACCTGTCTGTTATGTTTGTATACCTGGTTGCTGTGTTTGTATACCTGTCTGTTATGCTTGTATACCTGGTTGTTGTGTTTGTATACATGGTTGTTGTATTTGTATACCTGGTTGTTATGTTTGCATACCTGGTTGTTGTGTTTGTATACCTGGTAGTTGTGCTTGTATACCTGGTTGTTATGTTTGTATACCTGGTTGTTGTGTTTGTATACCTGTCTGTTATGTTTGTATACCTGACTGTTATGTGTGTATACCTGGTTGTTGTGTTTGTATACCTGGTTGTTATGTTTGTATACCTGACCGTTATGTTTGTATACCTGGTTGTTGTGTTTGTATACCTGTCTGTTATGTTTGTATACCTGGTTGCTGTGTTTGTATACCTGTCTGTTATGCTTGTATACCTGGTTGTTGTGTTTGTATACATGGTTGTTGTATTTGTATACCTGGTTGTTATGTTTGCATACCTGGTTGTTGTGTTTGTATACCTGGTAGTTGTGCTTGTATACCTGGTTGTTATGTTTGTATACCTGGTTGTTGTGTTTGTATACCTGTCTGTTATGTTTGTATACCTGACTGTTATGTGTGTATACCTGGTTGTTGTGTTTGTATACCTGGTTGTTATGTTTGTATACCTGACCGTTATGTTTGTATACCTGGTTGTTGTGTTTGTATACCTGTCTGTTATGTTTGTATACCTGGTTGCTGTGTTTGTATACCTGTCTGTTATGCTTGTATACCTGGTTGTTGTGTTTGTATACATGGTTGTTGTATTTGTATACCTGGTTGTTATGTTTGCATACCTGGTTGTTGTGTTTGTATACCTGGTAGTTGTGCTTGTATACCTGGTTGTTATGTTTGTATACCTGGTTGTTGTGTTTGTATACCTGTCTGTTATGTTTGTATACCTGACTGTTATGTGTGTATACCTGGTTGTTGTGTTTGTATACCTGGTTGTTATGTTTGTATACCTGACCGTTATGTTTGTATACCTGGTTGTTGTGTTTGTATACCTGTCTGTTATGTTTGTATACCTGGTTGCTGTGTTTGTATACCTGTCTGTTATGCTTGTATACCTGGTTGTTGTGTTTGTATACATGGTTGTTGTATTTGTATACCTGGTTGTTATGTTTGCATACCTGGTTGTTGTGTTTGTATACCTGGTAGTTGTGCTTGTATACCTGGTTGTTATGTTTGTATACCTGGTTGTTGTGTTTGTATACCTGTCTGTTATGTTTGTATACCTGACTGTTATGTGTGTATACCTGGTTGTTGTGTTTGTATACCTGGTTGTTATGTTTGTATACCTGACCGTTATGTTTGTATACCTGGTTGTTGTGTTTGTATACCTGTCTGTTATGTTTGTATACCTGGTTGCTGTGTTTGTATACCTGTCTGTTATGCTTGTATACCTGGTTGTTGTGTTTGTATACATGGTTGTTGTATTTGTATACCTGGTTGTTATGTTTGCATACCTGGTTGTTGTGTTTGTATACCTGGTAGTTGTGTTTGTATACCTGGTTGTTATGTTTGTATACCTGGTTGTTATGTTTGTATACCTGGTTGTTATGTTTGCATACCTGGTTGTTGTGTTTGTATACCTGGTTGCTGTGTTTGTATACCTGGTTGTTGTGTTTGTATACCTGGTTGTTATGTGTGTATACCTGGTTGCTGTGTTTGTATACCTATTTGTTATATTTGTATACCTGGTTGCTGTGTTCGTATACCTGGTAGTTGTGTTTGTATACCTGGTTGTCGTGTTTGTATACCTGGTTGCTGTGTTTGTATACCTCGTAGTTGTGTTTGTATACCTGGTAGTTGTGTTTGTATACCTAGTAGTTGTATTTGTATACCTGGTAGTTGTGTTTGTATACCTAGTAGTTGTATTTGTATACCTGGTAGTTGTGTTTGTATACCTGTCTGTTATATTTGTATACCTGACCTTTATGTTTGTATACCTGGTTGCTTTGTTTGTATACCTGGTAGTTGTGTTTGTATACCTGGTTGTTGTGGTTGTATAACTGGTTGCTGTGTTTGTATACCTGGGAGTTGTGTTTGTATACCTGGTTGGCGTGTTTGTATACCTGGTTGTCGTGTTTGTATACCTGGTTGTTATGTTGCCAAATGCTCAGGTTCTTGCAAACTCTATGTTCCTCGAAGATGGAGCCAATGTCATCGACATTGATGGAGGGAATGCATGCTTCTGCAATGAGCTTGTAGGGGATCCCTCCTGGATGATCAGTAGGGTCTCGGTCAGAAATATCTATAGCCAACTCCTACAAGATAAAACTACAAGTTGTATGCATAGCATTGAAAGGGACATATCATTAAAAACAACATTTCATTTATTGAATGTACATGTTGTCTGCACTGCTAGTTATGTTTATGTGCTATTCCCATTACAAATGTCCAGTTTGATTACTGGGTGTGTACAGGAAGCCCCATACAATGCTGGATATGGCAGCAGTGGTATGGTACATCAATGTAATAGCGGCTCGGTTTATAATTAGTCAGCTTTGTATTTAAGGCTAAATCTGGTATATATACCAAATAAGGTGATAAGTGTTAACAGACCCAATATATTTTCGGATTAAAAAATGATTCTTCACATGCTTGTTTTTATGTCATTCCATTTGTCAACTGAAATGCTGACCCTGTGGTAGTAGGAATGTGTAAGGATGTATATACCTCCTCACAGCTGCCTGGGGTTTCTGCTATACACTCCACATTGATCACTTGGCTGTTGTTACTAGAAATAATTCCAATGGCTGGTGACACTACAAACATCTGCAGAGGCAGACGGGACTGGGTCACCCCCTCCTGTCTGTAATCAATAACATGATATCATCTTTAGACCATATCTGATATATTTAGTGATGTTATATATGGAAAAGGTATAACAAAATGTGTAACTGTGCATGCTTTGTTTGAGCAAATGATGTAAAATACTTTAAAACTTGCCAATATTCCATGTAGTTTATACAAAAAATAAATTGGAATTGGAATTACTAACACCACTAACACACAGCATAACGACAGCATATGCTAGCGGAGTGACAGTAGAATGTTGTCACTAACATATCAAATGGGTCAAAGTCATCCATTTCAACAAACTTAATAATAGTTCATCTAAGCATGCTACAGACTGTACCAATCAAATATCACAATTAGACTCTGGTACCTGGTACCGTGTAAATATGTTGAGGTCATTCATATAATGCTTACAAATTAGCTGGCACTTCATCCTAGCCTACTGCTGGCCAACTATAGGATTCTTGGCTTCTTGAATGTTCAGAAATTGTTTTGAGGTTTTGATACATTTAACTTCAACATTAAAGGAGTAAATTTTATAAAACCAAGGTCATGGGAAGTACAGATACAGATGTATGCATTGTACTGATGCTTTTCTTTTCTTCCCTATTTTTATTTTCTTTTATGGCATAATGTTGCAATGAATGTAAAAGATTTGAGAATATTTTGGAATTAAATGAAGAATGAAATGCAATTTTCTCAAATCAACTTAACGGTGAGAAATTATACCCTCTCATGACCAGGAATTTCCCATAGGCAAACATATCTAAAGAGACAAAATATAATGTCTCCTTCTGAAGCACTGATTGGAATTTAACCAAATATGACTTGAACCATATCCCTTAGAGAGAGAGGAGTCAAAATTGTATAAATGGTGGGACCCTTGTCAGCTTGAGCATGCAGTAACTAAAATTGTATAAATGGTGGGACCCAAGTCAGCTTGAGCATGCAGTAACTAAAATTGCATAAATGGTGGGACCCTAGTCAGCTTGAGCATGCAGTAATTGAAATTGTATAAATGGTGGGACCCTAGTCAGCTTGAGCATGCAGAAACTAGACATATTAAAAATGTTCTGTCACAATATTTTAATAAACATAAGAACTTGAAACATAATGTAAATGTTTTTTCAATGCAACACAATCTAAAATAAAATCAACAAATATTGAATCAAGGTTAGCAGTCCAGACTAGTTCAAAAACTCAAGGTTAGCAGTCCAGACTAGTTCACAAACTCAAGGTTAGCAGTCCAGACTAGTTCACAAACTCCAGGTTAACAGTCCAGACTAGTTCACAAACTCAATGTTAGCAGTCCAGACTCAGGTAAGCAAATATTGACTCAAGGCTAGCACCTTAAGGCCAGGCTCTTGGCTTAAAACCAGAATATTCTTTTTTTTTAATATTTTCATCAAATCTGACCCTGTGACCATGAAAGTGAATCAAGGTAATTTCTTTGAAACAAAAGTTGATAACCCTTCATTATAATACTTTGTACCGCCTACCGGTTGAGAGCCCTTTATTCTTGTAAACTACTGGATAAACATCAGGAACCAGGACCTATTGGCTAAACAAAAATCATTTAAAGAGGAAGTTGATGGTATCACCATGCCGTTAGCTCATTAATGGTTCTGGTTAGCTAGGGTAGGCTAAAATTCTTTTTTTTTTTGAGTCCTGACAGTTTATTCAAACCAGAATTTCATTTATTTATGGTCAAGGAAAATTGGAAGACGCACCAATCATGATGAAATAAAATAATATGAACTGATCCCAGTTGAACTAAGAAGTCAGACACTGTTAGTAATCTAGACTGCTACCTTGGTTTTGACTTCAACACCTAACACACACACAGAGGGCAGATTGAGCAGTTATAAAGCACAGTCTCTTTTCCCCTTCCC